GAGAGAGAGAGAGAGAGAGAGAGAGAGAAGAAAAAAAAAAAAGGGGGGGGTGTAAATCTGGTGGTGGCAAGCGTAAGGTAGGAGGTACCTGTAGGTATATATATCCGTAATGAGACCAAGAAGCGCGGACCCCGGAAAAATGAAAAGAGAAAAAGGAAAAGAAAAAAAAAAGAAAAAAACCTGAACGCACTCTCGCTTGGGTGATTAATAGGTAGTAAGTAAGTATAGGTAGGTACTATAATTTCGGCTCTCTGCTTGATACTGTACAGTACAAGTAGGTAGACTAGGTAGACAAGGTAGACTCTTTCTGCTGCCGCGGGGGAGAGAGCGGATGGGTTTTCGCTTCGTATGGGGGGAGAGGGACCTCGTAGGTACCGGTACTGCTTCGTACGGGGTAGAGAGATCGTACTACCGGTACTGTATAGCCTCGGGCGCGCTTGCTTGCTTGCTTGCTTGCTTGCCTTTTCTACCTTTTCTTTGTTTTCTTTTCTTTTCTCTTTGTTTTCCTCTTCAATCCAATACCTACCACTCCGCAAGACCTTGTCACTCATAGGTGAGTTTTGAGTCGCACCTTGACTGGATTGGATACCGTCGGTCGGGTTTGTACTACTTACTACCTACCGGTAACGTGCCACTGCATGAGATGGGTGGCTGCTGCTAATGTACTGGGAAGGTGGGAAGGTGGGAAGGTGGGAAGGGGGAAGGGAGGGAATCCCAAGTACGGAGGGAGGCAGGCCTGGAGATGCGAATTCGGAACATTTTTCGAACCGGATCAGGGGGGCAGGCTTGGTCAGTTGTAGGTACCGGTACCGGTACCGGTAGGTATCGAGACCATGCTGGGATCGAGGTTTGAGGATCTAGGCTAGCCTGGAGCGGGCGGTGCTGGGACGGACGTACCGTACGTGTGCGTGCGACTTGTCGGTCACGCATTGCAGCTCTGTTTGTCGTTTGCCAGGTTGTCTTGCACCGGTATTATTGTCATGAGTGTTCGTTGAGCGACGGAGCTTCCAGATGGCAAGTTAGGCGGGAGCACGAGCGGGAATGGGATGCTTTATAGGATACTACTGTTAGGTATTGTAAAGGGGAAATCGCGAAGTGCGAAGTCGTCGTGATTTTCTATCTGATTTCCCAGTGTGCAGGTGGATCGAAACTTGATATCAGGAGGTAGTTCGTGTACATGGTAGATGTGTTGCTTCTGGGTTGGAGCGAGGCGGTTGGTGGTGTGTCTATATTCTCCAGTTGAATTACTGGTTACACGGTTGATGGTATTGTTCAGCCATTCTACTTCGCAGTCTACTGGCCCAGCGCTTTACTGAGAGCAGTCTTTCCTGAGAGCAGTCGGGCTTCTCTGTTGATGTTAGCGTGCTTGGACACCCCTTCCGCACTTAACGCAATCCTTCCAACCACCAGAAGGTAAACGGTTCGGAAAGAGACACGAGGGATTTGCAGTGCCGAGTTGGTCTCGCTATGATCTCTAGCCCAGCCGTTGCCTTGCTCGTCGGGGATATCGAAGAGATACCGGTACTTATTATTTCTTACTTTTCTGGCTTACGCCTCGGTGCAGAAGGGATATGGAATCATTCGCTCCTGCCTCTTTATCCGCTGCTGTCGAGTCGATGCTTCGTGAACCGGCTTTCGGCCATATCCATATAGAGCTGCATTTGTGTCCCGCTTGGTAACCGAGCTTTGGATATACGGGATCACTATGGAAGGGCCGGTCGTTGGGCGAGGATCGCCGCAAGCCTCTTCACTAGCAATCGCTTCTTTGTGAAATGGTGAGCTCGTCATCTCCTGGGGTGTGATTGAGATACAGAGTGCTTCTAGCGCTTTGGGATTCAAGCGGGAGCCGTGCATTGGAAACCCGTTTAGTCAAAGGGTGGAATTGTGTATTCGGAGCTAGAACTCATAACCAGTGATTCAGGATAGCTCAAACTCTAGTCATGTTCTGTTTGTAAAGTGATAACAGCAGTGACGGTACATAACATCAATGCCGACGTATCCCTTCTACGCAGAGAGCAGTACTTGGATGCCTAGTGGCTTTGAAGTATAGCCCAATAAATGCAGTGGATATGATCTAGCGAAGCTCGAGACCGTCGAGCAATTCGCTGTAGAAACACAATTGAAATATAATATATATATATATATATATATAAACCCATACCCATATAACCACCAAAGCAAGATCTATACAACCGAAACACTGACGAGGGCCCCTTCCGCCCTCCTCCCCGTGTACATCGACTTCCCACCTCGAATACCTGCCAACAATCCGATCGCAAAGGGAGTATGTAGTTCTCGCTTAGCAGGCAAAAGCTAGGTACCTCACCTTCACCTTCACCTTTACCTTCCCCGAATTATCCCCGCGAGAAAAAAAAAAAAAAAAATAGCTGATACATATATCCACATACTTCTTACAGACGTATCCAAGGGCGCAGATGGCATAGTGGTTTGCTATCTGTCGGGTCAAATTGGTGTGGGGGATCAACAACTGTAGCGATTTGGGGCCGAGTGGTTTAGATTTCACCGAACCACACACGACAGAAAGGAGGTAGGCACTCGACATCGGGCTGAACCTTTTTTGATGTTTTTTACTTTGGTATTAAGAACTCTACTGATGGTTTTGGGGCGGTTTTTTTTTTTCTTTCCTTTTTTTTTTATTTTTTTATTTTTTTATTTTTTTTATTTTTTTATTTTTTTATTTTTATTTTTTTTTTTTTTTTTTGGATTGGTTTATTTGCGTTCCGACGATGGGTTGTTGAGCGAGCGAGGGAAGGGAGGGAGCGAGCGGGTGGCCTAGGTAGAGCCGACGAGAGGGAGACCAATATTTTGTAGGAAGATGCGGTTCGCTTCGTACGGGACTTGTGTCATATAGCTGGCTGGCTATTCGAAATGAGTAGGAGGAGGGAGGGAGGGAGACCTTCAAGTCTAAAGACTCAAGCCAAACTGGGGCTTGATCTATGATTTCATTTCACGCTTCAGGTCGACTGACATACATATAACTCGAGAAATGCGTAAGCAGCTTATAGATGTACGAAGCGTAGATGTTTGTATTATAGTAAAGTAGACCTATGGTGCTTTTTAGAGAGAGGGACTCCTGATACTATCCTCGACCAGACGCTCTATACAGCCGTGTTGATATTGATAGTTAGCGTCATCTCCGGCATCAGCTCAACTCCGACCATCGCTTGTACTGTCGCCGCGACATGTCCCACCTCCTCCTCAACCACATCGTCGCCCAGATATACATGGTCACCAGACCCTATCGCCTCGTCCGCTGCCGCAACCCTTTCGTCACCCCCATCGACATCATCCCAGCTCACGCCCTCGGGTAAGTCAACAATCTCACCCGACACAATATCGTCCGAAGAGAACTTCAGCGCCTGCACATCATACCTCACGATCCTCAACGTCCGAATCGAAGGAAAGCAAGCGGAGACCGCGCATCGGGCAGCGTCCACCATGTCGGCATACAGCCACTGACTCTGCCGCTGCGGATCCGTGCAGCAGCGAGCGTGATGCACGATATCCACGTCTGGATCGCCAGCCGTGAGGCTCACCACCACCGTCTCGAGCACCGGGTGGACGCCGATCCGCACGACGTCGAACAGCTCGGGACAGACGCAGTGGACCCGTAGCCTCAAGTGGCGCAGCGCAGGCAGGGCATTACGAGCGTGCAGCGCCTGACAGACAGCGTGTGCGTCGCTCTCGCCGGCTGTGGCATACCGCGTCGTCGGACCCAGCTTGTCCATCGTCAGGCTCTCCAGCGAGGGCGGCAGGGCCGCAACCACGCTCTTCAGCGCCGCCGTCCACGTGTCGTCCGCCGCGACAGAAGCATACGTCTCCGCGTCGCAGGACAGCGCCAGCCGGAACGTCCGTAGCTTCCTCATCTGCGCTAGGCCCGTCGAGAAGGCGGCCAGGGCACTGCTTAGCTCCGTACTGCGCGCGTGCTGCTGCGTTCGCCACCGGGCTCTCTTCTGCGCCTCGGTGTGGGCGGGGTCCGAGACGGATTGCCTGCTTGCGAGGTGGTGGAGCTCGTTCGGGATGGAGTACGAGCCTGAGATGGAGAGGTGCTTGACGCGGCTGCGGATGAAGGACTGCACGTCGGGTGGTGCCTGGAGGAAGCCTGTGAGGGTTGAGAGGGAGAGGGCGACGTCCTCCCATGCGACCGATTGCGTGACGCTGTACCTGTGGATTCTCAGATGTGCAAAGGAGGAATGGGGGGGAGGGGAGGTGTCGAGGAAAGGCGCACCATGATCTGAAGAGGAGGATATGGTCGACTCGGCCGCGCAGGTAGGCGCCACCAAGGATTCGCGCTATTATGAGGAGAGTCTCTGCTGGGAGACTGTCTAAGGACGGCATCTCTTTTTTTTTTTTGCGGTCTGATTAGTTTGGGTACTCGTGAAGGTCGAGAAATTTCAGTATTCGAGGTGGCTGGTTGCCGAGACTCACACAAAGGAAATTATTTGGAAGCTGGTTCCGGTCGTCTTTGTTTGAGCCTACCCACCCAGCATTCTGTATTAGGGGTGGGAGGGAGCGAGTTGGAATGCATACAGTAGAGTGACGTGAGGTAGGAGAAAAAAATTAGTGAGCAATGCGAGAGCGCAGCTGTGCCAATCGCTCGCTTCACCCTCCATAAGCGAGTCTGTCTGCCTCGGCTAATGTCAACAAACCTGCAGGCACGAGACTTAGTGTTCCTTTGATCAATATTTACAATTGAAATCTCTCCATTGTTGACTCAGTCAGAGTGATCTGCAGACCATAGCCGAATGTGCTGAGCTTCGGAAACCGTCGCAATCCTTTCCATATTTCTCATCGGGATTGACCTCCCTACCACTAACCTATATACAGCCCAGCCCTATCCCCTGCCAGAGTTCGCTCCGTTGAGGACCTACGATTGGAGACCTGTAAAGATTCAGTATGTTTTTTTTTCTATCACGTGCTTTGAAAATCTTACATTGCGAGTAGAATGTGTTCGAGAACGTGCATGTCCATCCGGTAGGGCAGATTTTGGGTCCTGTGTAGGTAGAATCACCCGCGCCTATCATAGTATCAGCAATTATCCCAAACTTCGGGCTGGGTTGGACGTACATTGTCCATACGGAAGGGCTGTTGCTGTCGAGCCAGCGCTGCCTTGACGTTAGCTCTGCGCTTTTCCGATCGGAGTGAACGGGCTCACCCAGAAGTTTTCGAAGTCGCCGTAGTAGTCTTGGATGTCGAACTCGCCGTAGTAGCCTTGGATGTCGAACTCGCCATAGTAGTCTTCGAGGTCGAAGTCGATGCTTTGAAGCTCGTTGTCACGATAACCGTACTAGATTTACTCGACGTGACAGAATTCGTAAGGCTCGTTCTAACACTTGAAGTCGTCTTTGACGTCGTCGATGTCGAGGAAGCGGTCGCAGTCGAAGGCGGAAGCGCCCCCGAGGCGATGCCATAATAGATTCCGCGACCATTAGTCCCAACGTACACCTTGCCATAAATCGCCATATCGGCTCCAACGACATTTGCTGACGCAGCACCGAAGCCATGAGTGGCGTCACTGATCATGGCCCAGTTGAGGCCACTGTCTTCGGATTTGAATAGGGCTGTTGTGCCGCTGATTGTGAAAAACCCGTAGATGGTTGGATATGCGGCTGTGGTCGAGCCGGCACCAAACGCTACGAAGTCATAATTATTAAATGAGGTGGGAGTGGAATGAAGGTAGCGTACCGAAACTGTAGCCTGCTGTAACACTACTTGCGACTTGTGTAAATGTGCTACCGAAATTTGTCGAGTGGAAGAGACCAGCGTCAGTCGTTGCCCAAACATCACCAGCAACTGTTGGATGGACTCGTATTTGGTTGACGAGGGTGGATGACCCCAGTGCGACAGTTTTCGTGAAGGTGACGCCGCCATTGGACGAGACATAGAAGCTATGAATTTTAAGCACAGCTCAGATTTGGGCATGAATCTCACCTTCCCGCGGAGCCACCATAGAAGTACGAGTTGTTCCTCTTATCGGACGCAATCGCCGCCCCAGACGGCAGACTTGGGACCGCAGCAAACGTCGCCACATTTTTCGAAATCAGCGGGCCGTCCGTTCCAGACATTAGTAAGATGGTATCAGCATCAGCTGAGAATGCAACCTTGCCAGGGGCTGTGGTCAAAGAAGCACCGTAGTACGGATTCCAAGATCCTCCAAAGTTAGAAGAGATAGCTATCTGGATGGCTGTAGAGCTTTCTCCTGATCGTACGATGTTGGCGGGTTTGTTACCAGCGTAGTCAAGATCCTTAGTGCTGCCGTAAGTTGGGGTGTGAAAAGCTTGGGTGGGAGCGACATCAAGACTTGCGTGAGAGAAGCCTCCGATGTCGCCCACAGCTGATAGAAGCGGAGGACCACCTGGCACCACTAAAAGGCTTTGGACGGAGGTTTCTTCAAGCCCGTTTGCGAGTGACTTCACGGTCACGGAATGGGAAGTATCCCAGTTCAACAAGTCGTGAGATCCATAAATGGTAGCGCCAGTCCCGTAAAGCCCTGGAATGATGTCAGCAATTCCCTACGGATAGTAGAGAGAGCTCTCACAATGATTAGAATCAAACGGATCTATCGAAAGCGCTTCGACCATCCACCCAACTTTGGCTACGAAGTCTGCTGTAGAAGTTGTGTCCACAAGCCATGGGGCATTGGTTATGTCAAACTTGTAGTAGCTATCCAAAAGTCAGTGGCATCATGACTAGATCAACAGTTCGGAAGACAAACTAGTTGATGGATGGATATGCGTTCCATTCCCAGATAGGCGACCAGGTCGCACCTGAATCAGTACTTCTCCAGATAATCTCATCAGGCCACCAGCAGTTCAGAGCCGCCACCATGAGCGTACCAGGACGCTGCAGATCGACAGTCAGGCCGCCGTAGCCATAGTATGTCGAGGCTAGAGGCGTGGGAGAGATGTCAGTCCAAACGCCAGAAGTGACATTGTACTTGTGCAAAGTGCCATTGGTCCCATCGTAAGGGCCGACACCATTGGCATAAGTCACGTAGAGGATCTTCTCTCCGGGTGAGAATACTCCCTTGTGAGGAACAAATCCTAGCTGCGGCTCCCCTGATACCCAAGACCCTGGTGCTAGTTAGCCTCTGGCACAGTTTAGACAGCGGTACAGACTTACAGGTGACACCAGCATCCTCGGACTTGAAGACGGATTGGCCAGCATCGACGACCCCTAGATGATTAGCCGAATTCAACATCGAAGATTTGGCCGGAAACTCACCCACGAAGATACGAGGCGTAGCAGTGCCTTTGGTACCGGTCGTAGTATCAAACGTGATCCAGGCAATGCCTACCGGATCAGAGGTATACGAAGAACTCGCGTCCTGGAAGTATGTTCCTGTTCGAAAGTCAGCTAGCAGTTTGATGAAATAAAAATTCTGAGCGAGCCTACCTGGCCAAGTGAAAGACGAAACCTTCGCAAAAGTAACCCCGTAATCCGTGCTCTTATAAAGCCCATTTCCACTTCTTGCTCCATAATAGATGATGTTGTTCGCTTTCGGATCAATGGCAAGACGCTTGAATATTTCAGCCAGATATCTCGGTTCTTCAGAGGGCGATACATCATACCTCGCCTATCCCGCGTCCAGGCATATTTCCACCAACCTTGAAGGGGAGCTTGGTCTCAGCCCACGTATTCCCTTGATCGGTTGAGCGCAGAATGGATCCTGCATTGGGATCCCATTCATTGGTGTACATGCCAACCGCTACGTAGAGCCGATTTGTGTCCACAGGATCTGTGGCAAGTGCGTCGGTACCCCAGTCATGCCTCAAAATTTCAGCTGAGGTCTGGAGTGTGTCGAGAATTCCGAGACGTACCAGTTGGAAGAATTGGCCCATTCCATCAGAGGTGTCCAGGAGTCGTCTGCGTTCAGTCGGTATGCTCCTCCAATGTCTGTTCGCGCGTAAGCCAATCCCTTGACGGTGGGATTAAAAACGATCCCAGGGACGAAGCCACCGCCTCCTGAGGTATGAGTCAGTGGTGCAATGTGAGCTGCTGGAAATGAACCGGATACCTCCAATCTTGACATTCTTCCAAGTAAAAGCTTGAGAGGCCACAGCTTGGACAGATTCCGAAAGGAGAACGACCACTAGAAACGCAACGCTTTGAAGGGTACGCATGATAAAAGAGGTAAAACTTTGGTAACTGAAATAGATTCCTAAGGAGCAGGTAATACGAAGACTATATAAAGGCCAATTCTACTCATGTCCGCGAGGACAGGAAGATGATTCAGGAACATAGAGACTTAAATCCTAGCTGCATAACGCGTGCATCAAAGTGTGCCTGGTACCTTGCAACTTTTGACGAGGAAGAATGGACGGAATATGCAAGGTATCACGAATGATGGCAAGATCTGGGGTACAGACGGGGATACAATTTCTCATTCCGTCCAGATGAGCACATAACGGATCTGTTCGGTCCGTACTGATTAGGGCTTCGAGCTAAGTTAATTCTCTTATCGGCTTGATCTTATTATGAAGTTGCGCGAGATAGCAAATGGATAAGCTGAAGGTTGTTTTGTAAAGGCATCTGGCCGGCTTTAACAGCCGACGGTTTTGTCAGGTAGCTACCGTCGCACCTGAAATCTTAGACCCGACATCATTTTCCCGTGGTTTTCGTCAAAGAGGGTCGCAGATTTATATTGAACCTACAACTTCAATATGGCAAGGCGCAAAAGTGGCCAATTCGAATGGTGGAAACAAAAATTTCCGTCGCGACTTCGGCTGCGCCCGTCCGGCGCAGAAATAATTTGCTGGAATTAAGGCCCGGCCTAATATTAAGCGTTTAACGATAGCTGCAATCGAATATGTGCTTTTGAAACTATATATAAAAGGGAAGAAGCAAGTCGGGGCTGCAAGGCATCGATATTCGATCGCCGGTGAATATAAAAAAGCTAGCAGCGAGACATCAAGCATAATAACGCCTTCGCTTAGATAATTATCCGCGAGGCATATTAAAAAGAACGGAGCGTGATTTATAAACATTACATTTGCCTTAAAAAATTTGTATGCAATTGCAAGGTATCTATCTTATAGCTGCTTTAGCCCGTATACAGCACATATAGCTTATTAATCAAATAACTATAATTATAAAGCTTAGCATAAAGGATCGTAAAAGGTATAAGCGTAAGTGCAAAGCGGAAAGACGAAGAAAGTATTAGGCGTTTGAAAAAAGCTGTCAAGGCTTTGCTCGGGCGGATATAACTATTAAGCGGTTGCTAAAGGGCAATGCTTACGAAGCTAAGGCTTGTATTTAATTAAGATTAGAAACTTGATTGAGATTAAATGTGATAGATAAAGCGGACAGTTTCGAATGGTGGAAACAAAAATTTCCGTTGCGACTTCGGCTGCGCCCGTCCGGCGCAGACATAATTTGCTAGAATTAAAGCTCGGCTTAATATTAAGCGTTTAGCGATAGATGCAATCGGATATATGCTTTTAAAACCATGTATAGAAAGGAAGAAGCAGGTCGGGGCTGCAAAGCATCGATATTCGATCGCCGGTAAATATAAAAAAGCTAGCAGCAAGATATTAAGCATAATAACGCTTTCGCTTCGATAATTATCCGCGGGGCATGTTAAAAAAAAGCGGAGCGTGATTTATAAACATTATATTCGCCTTAAAAGATTTATATGCAATTGCAAGGTATTTATTTTATAGCTGCCTTAGCTCGTATGCAGCATATACAGCCTACTAGTTAGATAACTGTAATTATAAGGCTTAGCATAAAGGATCGTAAAAGGTGTAAGCGTAAGTGCAAAGCGAAAAGACGAAGAGAGTACTGAGCGTTTGAAGAAGGCTGTCAAGGCTTTACTCGGGCGGATATAAATATTAAGCGGTTGCTAAAGGGCAATGCCCACGAAGCTAAGGCTTGTATTTGGTTGAGATTAGAAACCTGGTTGAGATTAAATGTGATGGATGAAGCGGACAGTTCCAAGACAGCCGTGTCCAGAGTGACGACCAACAGAGTCGGAGATGAGAAATCGGATGAGGGCTAGCGAGACAGGAAAAGAGCGACTCGGACTCGTGACTGAGACGAAGATCCTGAGGCTGATGGACCCCTCTAAGGATGCAACGGATGCTGTTCCGCCGTCGCGAAAGGAGGAGAAAGGGGCGACTGGGGCTGTTCGGAAGGAAATGGGGTTGCTGGAGGGGTTACGGGCGAGAAATTAGAGAGGTGGGGAGATTCAGGGAAGCCTCGAGGGCCTTGCGTGGGTGCCAGGGCCGTTGATGCGATAATGTATGATAATAAGGGTATGATTTCGCGGCGTGCAGGAACAGGCAGGCAACGACAATGCAGTCAGATAGGAAAGAGTATTATTTTGCGGAATATGATCGCGTTGAATTTTTCAATGAACCATCTACCGTTCGAGCCACCTGTGTCAGCAAATCTAAGAGAATTAGATTTCACAGCTGAATGGTTGCGTTTGTTGAGATCCTGCTTCTGGTCTCAGCCTTGAACAGAGGGATCTAATCCCATGTGCTGGGCTAGGCGTCCGATCCCAAAAGTGACTAGGGGTACCCCCGAGAGGACTCGCGCAGAAAACTATGGCAGTTCTAGTTTTTAGTACCTTTAGCCTTGGTGAAATATTAGCAAGTATCATGTACAAGTTCCAATACAAACAAATGTAACACAATTTCTTGAATCAGAAGGAAGGCAACGGAAAATCTCCACACGGTTTTGCTCTCTCGGAGACAAGATGATTTAAAATCCGAATTTCTTTCATTATTTTGAACAGCGAACAGTTGCTCGAAAATTTTGACAAATAGTTGTAGACTCACATCTTACTCATTGGAAATCCGATTACCTAATTTCACGTATCTCTCGTTGACCACTTCTGAGTCTGTCAACATGTCATGATCATGGGAATGACTGTGAGCTCTGTTAGCCGTAAGTCGGGAGAGACTAAACATATCGAGGAAACATTTGAAGGTGCTCAGAGTCTAATTAATAAGTCCACTCGGGGTTTCGGTCAGGGATAACTGAAATTTTTCATCACAGCAAGGCGGTAAGGTGAGGAAATCGAGAAAATGATATGTACGTACTGTGGGGTATCAAAGAGTCTTTCGGCAAGCGCAACCCGTAATTCAGAAGACTTCTGGATTATGTTTCAAAGGACTTGCCCATTCATCAGTTACTCCTACATGATCTGATCAGCAAGGTCTTCGCGAAGAGAGTTTGCGCTCCAGAAAAGGCACGTGAGATTCTTATCAGAGCATATGGTGATGGTTTGTCTCATGGCCTGGTCTCCCAGGCTCTGAAGTAGCAAATACTTTATAAGTTGCGTAGCATCATCTGAATCCCGTACACCGTGTTCTGGGTTGAGGCCTGGATGACTGCTTACCTGATGAATTTGGCCGGTTCATGGCTCTGCGCCTTGGCGGGGATATTGGACAGATTCTTCTCCGGAGATTATACTTCGGCTTGGAATAACTAAGGTCGTATCATGCATGACACAAGAGCGCCAGTGACATTCTGTTGGCGGACTGATGAGCTTCAATGGTTGGTATGTGTAGAGAGTTGATAAGTTTCCGCACATGCAGAAATTTTATATCTGGTGTGGACACTTGCGATAGTGCGGTGGATCCTGTCTTAACGCATAGACCAGGAGACGGAGCGTGATGCGACCAATCGCTCAGAATTCATCGTCGCTCTCGTCCTCATTTCTCGGTTTGATATTCTTGCTCATATAGGGACCATCCAGCCAATATCCAAGCCTTCTGTAGTAATCCCGAGTGCCAACTCCAGAAATGACACTGATCTTGGCGCTGCCATGCTCATCTCTGGCAATCCTCTCAGCCTCCTCCATCAGCAAGGTACCATATCCTTGATGTTGGAACTTTCGAGGATCACGAGCATGAACAGGCACAGCAGAACCATACACGTGTAACTCGCGGACGAGGCTGGTGGGTTGGCCGACAAGCTCTGGTCGGTAGGTGTACTTCTTGGAACACTTGCGGAGACGAAGGAGTCCGATCAAAATATCCTGTTTTGGATCCTCGTAGGCCAGGAATGTCTCCCATCCGCCATTGGCAGTGTAGTCTCGACGCACAAGTTCAACCTGCGAAGGCCTGATCTTATTCTTGACCTCGTTGATGCCGACTTCGCGAGTCCGAACATCTCGACATGTGGTACCAAAGTCTTTCATTCTGCTCAGAGCCAGTTCCCTCAGATTTCCATTTTCCACACCAGATGTGACCAACGGCATTGGGATATCTCTCTGAACTCGGTAGATACGAGTCCACGGCGGGACGAGGGCCAATATCCGGGCAACAATATCGATAAGAGCATTTGGAGTATAGTTCTTATATCTGCCAGTTCTCCATAGCTCGTATAAACCAGTTCCTCGAATGACGAGCGTGGGGTAGATTTTCAATCCATCTGTTCGAAAAGCTGGGTTCTCAAAATACTCTCTGAACTGATCCAAATCTCTCTCCATGCCGACATTGGGCAAATCTGGCATCATGTGGCTAACTACCTTGAAGCCTGCATCCTTTGAGAAACAAAAGGTTTCAGCAACAGAGGCAACAGTGTGTCCTCGATTAGTATCCCGAGCCACATCCTCGTAGAGTGACTGAACACCGATTTCCAGTCTAGTACAGCCGTATCGCAACATATCGGTCAAATGTGTAGGCAGACAATAGTCCGGTCGAGTTTCGATTGTAATCCCCACGCACTTTATGTTACTCATTTCTCCGGCTTCCACGGCCTCGTCAACACTGGTCCCTTGATATCCACTGAGTGCATTATGCAGCTGAGAGATGAAACTCTCTCGGTAGCTGACTGGCAAAGACATGAATGTCCCACCCATAATAATATATTCGACCTTGTCCACACTGTGTCCCAGCGACTTGATCTGATCCACCCTACCTCTTGCCTGCTCGAAAGGATCATATCGTGCTCGAATAGCTCGCATAGAAGTAGGTTCGTAGCCAGTGTACGACTGTGTAGAGTATTCAAAATCAGAATCTGGGCCACCTGGACAATAGACACAAATATTTCCAGTGTATGCAATGTGTGGGCATCTGTGGGGTTTACACATGACAGCGACTACCGCAATACCAGAGGCACTTCCTGGAGATAGTTAGGCGAAAGCAATGGGAAGTAGGATCAAGCATACTAATGGGCTTAGCTATCAATTTTGGCAAGATGTATTTTTTGTAATGCTCGGGAATGGCAGCGATGATAGCTGTCAGAGCTGGCATATTGGTGAGCCTATGCTTCTTGGACATCCTTGCACGCAAGCTGTTGAGATTAACATCTTTCTTGGGCGCGGATGCATCTTGCTGCGCTTCATGGTCTTGTACAAGGAAGCTGACGATGTCTGAGCAGGCCCTCAAAGCTCGCTCATTCTCCGGGGGTAAATTTGCGACTTTGGGCTTGCTCTGCCGCTCGGAGAGAGTCATCGTGAAGGTTTCGGTCGCCATATTCGTAGTAGAGAGGAATAGAAGGACCCAGCCTTGGGTTCTGGGCGCTTGATTGTCGTTGATGTGTATTGTGGTAGGATCATGGTGGGGGGTTGGCGACATAAATAGCAAAATTGCAGAGGTCGGCTGGTCCCGGAGCTAAAACTTCTACACAGCTCCTAGCATACAAACTCATCAGCAATCACAAAACCACCCCTCATTCCACCACTCATTCCTGACATCAATTGTCTTTGGCAAGATGCAGGCCTTTTCAAGATGTGCTAGACCGGCGATGAAAGCTGCGGTGCGCAGACAGGCCTATTCCTCCTCGACCTCCGCCTACACTGCGACTGCCGAAAATTTGCGGATCAACGGCGAGACCAAGGTCATCTACCAGGGCTTCACCGGAAAGCAGGGAACGTGAGTAGCTGTGAGCTGGATGATTCAGAGGAACGGGATACTGATCCAGGTGTTGCAGATTCCACGCGCAACAAGCAATCGAGTACGGTACGTGGTCGAAAACATCAAGGTCGCGAAAAGACATATCTGATAAGGAAAGTAGGTACACAAGTGGTTGGAGGAACAAACCCCAAGAAGGCTGGACAAACACATTTGGGTCTGCCCGTCTTCGCCAATGTCGCCGACGCCGTGAAGCAGGCTGGAGCTACAGCTTCAGCTATCTTCGTCCCGTACAGAAACCCTCGACCAGAGCCCCTTTTTTACCGCAGACATTTAACGATTTTCCAGACCTCCGCTTGCTGCCGCTGGTATTGAGGAAGCCATTGCTGCCGAGATCCCTTTGGTTGTCTGGTATGTGTCCCAGTGAGCAGGCGAAAGGGCTCTCTAACGTTTATCTAGCATCACTGAGGGTATCCCTCAACATGGTATGTAATTCTGCTCCGACTATGAAGTCTCGAAACCTTACGCATTTGACAGATATGGTCCGAATCACCGACATCCTGAAGACGCAAGGAAAGACACGTTTGGTAGGACCCAACTGCCCGGGCCTCATTGCTCCAGGTCAATGCAAGATCGGTATCATGCCAGGATTCATCCACAAGCGCGGCCGTATTGGTATTGTCTCTCGTTCCGGAACTCTTACATACGAAGCCGTCAATCAAACCACCCAAACCGGTCTTGGACAATCACTCGTGGTTGGAATCGGTGGTGATCCATTCTCTGGCACCAACTTCATTGACTGCTTGAAGGTTTTCCTGGAGGACGAGGAGACCGATGGTATCATCATGATTGGTGAGATTGGAGGATCTGCCGAGGAGGATGCTGCCGAGTTCTTGAAGGAGTACAACACTGCCAAGAAGCCAGTCGTCAGTTTCATTGCTGGTAAGTCAGCTTCCAAAAGGTCTCATAACGATTATCAAGAACAAGGCTAATCTTAATACTTGTAAAGGCATCAGTGCTCCAAAGGGTAGAAGGATGGGACATGCAGGTAAGCCATACCTACCATTTGCACTACTACGGGCTTTCACTAAATCAATCAAGGTGCTATTGTCAGTGGAGGTAAGGGAGGAGCCGACTCCAAGATCTCTGCTCTTGAGGCTGCTGGTGTTATTGTGGAGCGCAGCCCTGCAATGCTCGGCAAGACCCTGCACGGAGAGTTTGTACGAAGGGACTTGATTTGAGGATACTTGTTGAAGTAGACGATAGTGGGTAGTTGCACAGGGAGCGTTGATGCATTTTCTTTCATGTGTTTATGGACAATACCACGTTCCTGTTGTACAGCTAGCCGATTACCCTTAAGATTCGATAGACCTTTTTGATCTGTATCAAATCAGACATGTATCATCCCGATCTCATTTCATGAAGCATTTTCAAATGGCTGTAGTCGTCTCTGTATAGATCGAAACAAAACGTCCAGGTATCCTACTTCCCTTGACTGGGCCGGATTCGGTAAAGCGCGGCACATTCTCAAAAAAACCCCCGCATATGGACTTCCGAAGTCAATACCTCGATTCCATCAACCAGCGTACTTTGTCTGATATCCACGATGCTGTCCGGGATATTGGTCTTCAATCAGAAAGGGGAGAATCTTATATTCCGTGCCTTCCGAAATGATTGCCGGCCGCGCCTCGCAGACGTATTTCGAATCCAGGTCATATCGAATGCCCAAGTGCGGTCACCAATCCTTACATTAGGCAGCACAACCTTCAGTCATGTCAAACACGAAAACATATATCTGGTCGCGATCACCAAAAGCAATGCGAACGCTGCACTGGTCTTCGAGTTCTTGTACAGGTTGATTGCGCTTGGCAAGGGATATTTTGGAAAGTTCGACGAGGAGGCGGTTAAGAACAACTTTGTGCTGGTCTACGAGCTCTTGGATGGTCAGTTTCAGCTCTGAGAAACAAGCTGCATATATTGATTACTGCTGCAGAAATCTTAGACTTTGGATACCCGCAGAACACCGAAACGGATACTCTCAAGATGTACATCACCACCGAGGGCGTCAAGTCCGAGCGGACAATGGAAGACTCGGCCAAAATCACGATGCAAGCAACCGGCGCGCTCTCCTGGCGCAAAGCAGATGTAAAATACCGCAAGAACGAAGCTTTCGTCGACGTGATCGAAGACGTGAACCTCCTCGTGTCTGCCACCGGTACCGTACTTCGCGCAGACGTGAACGGCCAGATTGTCATGCGCGCATACCTCACAGGGACCCCTGAATGCAAGTTTGGGCTCAACGACAGATTGCTGCTTGATGGCGATAGTCTTTCGTCTCTCGAGTCGGGCAATAGGCAGGGCTCGAAGGCGACGAAGGCAGCGGCGGGCAGTGTGACGCTGGAGGACTGCCAGTTCCACCAATGTGTCAAGCTGGGTAAATTCGATACGGACAGGATTATCTCGTTTATTCCTCCAGATGGTGAATTCGAATTGATGCGGTACCGCGCGACGGAGAATGTTAATTTGCCGTTCAAGATCCATGCCATTGTCAACGAGGTCGGGAAGACGAAGGTGGAATACAGTATTGCAATCCGCGCGAACTACGGCAGCAAACTCTTCGCTACCAATGTTGTGGTACGGGTGCCCACCCCGTTGAATACAGCAAAGATCACGGAGAGGTGTACGCAAGGCAAAGCGAAGTACGAGCCAAGTGAAAACAATATTGTGTGGAAGATCCCGAGATTTACAGGACAGAACGAGTTTGTGTTGAGTGCAGAGGCGTCCTTGACGCATATGACGAACCAAAAGACGTGGTCGAGGCCGCCGCTGAGCTTAAACTTTAGTCTGTTGATGTTCACGAGTTCTGGATTGCTGGTTAGGTATTTGAAGGTGTTTGAGAAGAGCAATTACTCTTCTGTGAAGTGGGTGCGGTATATGACTAGAGCTGGGTCATACGAGATACGGTGAGTTGCTATATATCTACCACGCGGTGAAGTTGCTGACAGAGTGCAGATTTTAATGTATTTTATGGGATTTGGGAATGGATCGATGCATAGCATTGGCGTCAACGGGAAGTCTGAGCTCACAGTAGTCGAAGACTTTTTTTTTTCCCTCAAAGATATTGCCTACTTTCATTTCATCGCAGCTACTTAGTGAGACGCGGACCCTGAATTTCAGACGGGCTCGGCAATCAGGGCAGTATTACTAAATGGTACAAAGATGACCCAGACTGGATATAACTCTTAAGAGAAAACAGCCTTCCCTTTTACTGCATACCCGTATACGTTAAGAGAAGCTCCATGGAAGCTGCACGATAAAATATCATCGCCGAAACCTCCCTGGGGAATAGTCCTCCTCTCGCTGCGAGGCGGGATGTCTATCAGGATCGCTGTACGTATGAGAGCAGCGCCACTCCAGACTGCACTCATTGTTCGCCGTACCTCACGTTAACGCTAGCAACTATCCCTTCCTCCGCAGCGCTGTTAAGAATCTGCCAACACCGACTTGACTCCAACCGTTGGATGCGTGCGTAAAGCAGACGGTACCCACGGGATCAGGATGATGTCGACCAGTGGGATGGGTAGTGGCTTGGATGGCAGGCAGGCGGAAGGAAGGAGGTTTCTTTACCTTTGGGGTATATATAAATAGAACTGTTGTTGGAGAGATGGGGAAGTGAGTGGCTGGCCTAGGTCACGAGAGAGAGAGACAGAGTGGGAAGGGAGGAAGTGAGGAAGTGAGGAGGGCTTGATTTACGGATACGGATAGCGAGCGTGGGGTACTGCGGAGACGGGTATATCTCCGTAGAAAGCAGATAATGAAAGGAATGCAAGCAAGCAAGGCTGTAGGTACCGGTAGGCATCAACGCGCCTGTACCTCGTATCTACGGAGCATCTTTATCTATCTTCTTTATCCTCCTTCGACGCAAGGAACGCTGGAGCACATACATCATGTTGGTTTTTTGTTGGGGATGTACGGAACGGACAGGAAGGCGGCGAGTTGGCGCCAGCCGTCTGGATTCCGTACGGCACGGAACTAGAAGCGAATGCAGGGGGAGGGGAGGGGAGGGGGCAGGCATATTTGGGATGTACTCCATACGAACTTCATTCACACTCCGGAATCTAGGATCTACTTGGAGAACTGGAAAAAGCCTCGTGCTACTGAATAAGTACAGTTTATTATTACGAGTGGAAGTCCTGGGCAGGCGTGTATGCATGCTTTTAAGAGGTATGGGGTATGGATGGGTAGGGATGGATGGGATGGGATGTCAGCGTGATAATTGATATATGTAGGTTTATATATGGCCCGACCGCCCATTTTGTGGTTGAATCTAGCTGGCTGTTCTTTCTTACTTTCATGGCTATCAGCGAGCCATAATTGGAAGACGCGGTCGAAGGTGTAGATGATGAAAAAAACAAAGCATTTCATCACGCGCCTTGGTTCACGTCGAAATATGTAGATCGTGAGATAGTTAGCCGACATTTGAAGGGATGGCAAGATGGCAACTATACGAAGTTACCAGGATAATAATAGCGTGGTGGGATGATGCATGGCGACTAGATCGCATAAAGGCAGTACAGATCTCTAAAGAAACATTTCTTGAAAATCGAAAAATGTTCCATTTTGTTTATACTGCAGTTCTGAGTGAATATGAGATTGGGGGTTTGGCTCGCTCGCTAATCACTAACTTGGAGCCTTGTTTGGCTCGCAAAGCAAGTTTTGCAGGAGATCCATATCACTATCCTAAATATAGTTGGGAGGTAAGGCTGCTTGTCAACTATCGTAGGTGGTGATCATCAACTATAAATAGAAGGTAGAGCTCGTTTGGCTCCACTACAGGTGAAAAATAACCGTCGGCTCGGACCGAGAGGGATGTACGGAGGCCCACCTAAGCGAGCCGACGATTAGGTAGCTCTTCCATCCATTCTCCCCTAACAATTTGGATGTATTGCTGTGGCGTTTTAGCGAAGTTGCTATCAATCGTAGTTAATTCAAAAGCCGCAGAAAGACCAAGGAGATTGCGATCGATCCCGTATGCGACGTTTTTTAAGAAGCCGAAGGAGCCATTTGATAGTGGTGGAGAGATAGTATCAAAGATGTTATATTTTAGGCTGAAAAGGTTCCAAAATAGGGGGTCGGTTCAATGGTGCAAGGGTATATAGTGATCAATTACTATGGAAATTACAAAAAATCCTCCAACTTCGATATTTTGGAGATTTGTATGGAGCAACTCATAATTCTTGGAATAGTAATTGATCCCAACTGCAAATCACTATTGGGACCCACTATACATCGCAGATTGAAGATCACTATAAATTTTGTTGGTGCACTATGTCTCCAACTTGCGAGGTAAGGTCGTTCTTTTTGTTGAACATTGATACATAGCTGACGGGGTATTTCTTCCGGCCCGAACTCCGTACCAATCATTTTTCACTGAAGAAGAGAAGAGAAGATAATCTTCCGACCTACCACGCATTTCTCGTCGTTCATTCTCCAGGCCCCCTCGCGTGGTGGCAGCATTTCGCGCCACAACATTCCTCTTCAAATACCAACCTCGCTAGCGAAGTAAACATATGAGACCTGGGAATTTCCCTACCCACGACTCTCTTTTTCTCTCCTCCTGAAGACATTCGTCTGACAACGCTCTTTTAAAAAACGACACTCGTTTCTCACGGTGGACACCCAGTATCTGACTCCATTCGAACTGGATATCGACGCTCGCCTCAACGCCCCCGAAGCTGCTGCTGCCGCCGCCGCAGCTCCCGCTACCAGCATGGGCTCCCCTATCGAAGAGTACGCCTACTCGGTCCTCTTCTCCTTCATCGGCGTGCTGGTGTTCATTTCTAGCGTCATGGCCGGGATGTGGGTCTACCGCCTCTACACCACGCGCGGCTTCCACCTCGCCGACTTCGAGAGGCTGTCTGCGGAAGCGCAGAGGTTGGCCCAGGAAACCTCGACGATCCGTCGAGACGTCGAGAGTGACTCCTCGTCGGAACCGTCGGTTAGGATTGCGAACGTCGCGAAAGTGGATGCGGCGGATGAGATCGATGCTGGCATCAGGATCGCGCTGTGTGCCTGGGAGGATATCATGCAGCCGGGGGAGGGGGCTGCGCTCGACGAGGAGAAGGGGGTTGGGGGCGGGAAGCTAGATAGCCAGGGCGAGGGCCAAGGCCAGGGCCAGATGGGGGAGAAGCGTAAGAGCCACGGACGGTATGTGATTGGGCTTATGAGAGGGAAGTGTCTCGAACGGGTGGAGAAGAGGAGGGATCTGAGCCCGGCCTTGCAGGCCATGCATCTTGAAGTCTTGTCCCGGTAGGTGAAGACGCTGTCGTCGTCGACATACATACATACATACAAACGGCCGGAGACTGATCAAGTGCCACCGAAGAAACTTCGACATCCGCTCCAGCCGTATCAGCCGTCGCATGGCGAGCGGAAGCAACATCTCGTTCGGGAAGTCACCAGTGAGTCCTCGCCCTCCTCGTCGCCCTCTTGCCGTTTCACTAACGTGACCGTAGCGGGACAAATACCGCTCGCTCTCCGAGCATCCCTCTGAGACGGTAGGTCTCCCCGCCTCTCACACCTTGTACCTCGGGGCTTTACTGATGTCGTCGGTCCAGAACGAGGAAATATGCGCGCCGTCCACCTCTGCCGCTTCGGCGGCTGCGACTCCAGGGTCGATCGACCCCATGGTGCCCAGCGCCATGCCTCTCCATTCGACATCTCAGAGGTCGGCCAGTTGCCCGGTTCCAGACGACGATAAGTCTGAGATGATGGGTCCAGCGAGAAAGGAGCACACCTGTGTGTAGACACGTATATATATATATATATATATATATGTTTGTATGTATGTATGTATGTGCATGTATATGCACATCTATGCATAAGTTTAAAAATTTAATCATCTCGGTCCTGTAGTGGTCCTATATGCTGGGCTTGGCGGTGGTAAAAACGAGACAATCTGTTTACCTGGAATATGGTCTTTAATATCCGAGATTTGACCTGTCCAGGTATTTCCTGTAATCATCCTCTCGGTTCTGGCATTTCTGCTTGATCATCGGGTTTCCTTGCTGCAGATATATGAGTGAGTTCCCTTTCTGTGGTTCCCTCGGACGGACGATGTCTCCTTCAAGTACGGAGCGTTCGACCCGTCGGTGTTCCGGCATGAGAGATCTTTCTAGGCCCGCTTGAGCCGGAATCTCCGTCTTCATCTCTTGTCAACGCCCTCCCTCGTTCGTCCTTTGTCTTTCACCACTCACCCCCCACGAGACTATATCTCCATCGCATGGTGCCGATTGTCCCATCTTTGGCCGGTTTCCATTTGGTCGCATGTGTGTGGTTCCGCTTGCATGCGTCTCATCTACATATAGATCGGGCTGTCGGTTTGTGTTTCAATTAATCTCGCAAGGCTATACCTACAGGAGATTTACTATACTTCGGCATAGTCTAGATCGGCTTTCGCAGGAATCAGGCCGGGGCCACGCTGCTGTGAGTTTCAAAGTTCAGCCAATCGGCGATCTCACTTCACAATCAAGGACTATTTTACCCTAAACCCTATTTACGGTTAACCCCCATACACCTTCGGGGTATTTTTCAGACTTCGCTCCCGCCCGGGACTGCACTCTCTAATTCCCCTTACGGACTCTGCACGGCACGCTTCATCCACCACCCACCATTCCGGGACCCGAGAATCAATATACTTTTGTCGTATTACCTTAATTGTTTTTGAGTTACTTCCAAATACGGAGCACCTATTGTATTTACTCTTTCGCGCCGACGGCTCGAGCCTACCGAGAGCCAGAACTTTGTCAGCTCGCCTGGCAATACGAAAGCTTAAGGCATGATAGCCCGAGGGTTTGGGGTGGTTTTTTTTTTTTTTTTTTTTTTTTCTGCGTCAAACGTTTGGACCAGAGCTACATCCCATACTTGTGTCAAGATGCTTGGGATGATTAAGTGTCGAAGTCTATCTATAGTCTGCTTGTAGTGTGGTTTGGAAATGGTGATGGATAACCCTTATATACGCGCGTGGGCTGGAAATCGTACGCACTTCCTTCCCAGTTATAGTAGTAAAGTAATTGTAAACGTCCAGAACATCGATGCTTATCACTGAAATTCAAACTCATATAATATTTCAACTGGTGTTTTTTCGAGCACAGCCGAATCATTGGCAGTGGAGCAAGTTCAAGTAGGAACGGACGAGTCCTGGACACCCTGCAGACCGACCGAGGACCACCCAGCAAGCAGAGGCAGGGACATGCTGGACCCTCGACTCGACAACTCGACAGTGGACACCTCCGTATCAGATATTCGGCACGGCGGTGGTTCCTGTAGGCGGGATTTTCATAATGCGGATTTGCAATTCATCTACTCTCCGCTTAGGCTTGGCGCACTTAAGTATGTAGCGGCTACCACCGTGGGATATCTACCTACCGACCCATCCCTCTCTCGCTATTTCTGTTCTTCCTTTCGCGCAAGTACATACAGCCTTCTGCTGCTTGTCCTGGTACCCGCGTCTAACCACCTTCGTCCCGGTCACATCGCTGGCGAGCCTATTCTACACAGTCACTCTTTCAATATCATCTTTTACTTCGTTCTTCATTCTGGGTGTTGGAGTTGAAAGAAAAAAACGAATCTAGGGCGACATATTCTTGCCGAAGCTCTTTTTTTGTGGTTAGAATAGGAGTTTAGGGGAAGAAATCTATACGATTTCACACACATCCATACACAGCAGTTATGCCTTCGTGGGGTATCTTGCAAGACCCGAAGCACCCATATGTTAGTCAACAATGTGTCGGTTCTCCCTGGCAACTAGTGCTGATCATCATCGTCACAGGTACCAGGAACCATTAAACTCAACGAGGACGTCAGCGCAGAGAAGCTCGCCGACTGGGAATATCAGGAGCCAAAGAAGAGGGGAGATACTATACTCAACCCTCAGCCCTCAGATAGTCCCAATGACCCTCTGAACTGGCCGACGTCTACCAAGCTGGCGATCCTGGTTATTCTCTCTTTCGCATCTGGTGTCACGGTCTCGTGAGTACAATCTCTGGCCTGCCTTGGTGATTCGCAGAGCAGATATACTGACGATGATGACCGTAGACTTGGGCCGATGCTCACACCTGGTATGGAAGACATCGCCAAGAAGTTCAACGTCACGACAGATCAGGCTTCATTTAACCTCGTCGGACTTTTACTGGCTGCGACGGGAGGTGCACTATGCTTTACAGCCGCTGCGGCGGCGGTATGGGGGAAAAGACCGGTTTTTTTCCTGTCCACGTTGTGCCTGTTTGCTACAAGCACCTGGGGTTTCTTCTCTCCCAACCTTTTGTCTCTGACGGCTTCGAGATTCATTCAGGGAGTGGCTGCTGCTCCCCTGGACACACTCATCGGTGCCACAGTGTCAGAACTGTTTTTCGTTCATGAGAAGGGCAGGATGTTGAGTATTTGGAACATGTTTGTTATGGGTGGTCCCAAGCTCGGGTATGTTTGTACTCGCCGGCATTTACTTCTTTCTGTACTAATTGAATATAGCCCACTGGTTTCCGGCTTCATCATTCAAAACCTCGGATTCGAATTTACCTTCGGCATCTGCGCGCTGCTCTACTTTGTCATCGCCGTCCTGATGTATTTCCTACTCCTCGAAACGGTCTTTGTCGAAAAGGAGCCCGTAACCGAAGTCATCTTTGACAAGTCTTCCCTTCGGATCTACGAAATCATTATCCCGGAAAAGAAGAAGAGCTACAGCGAGCGCCTCAAGATCTTCCAAGGCCGTGTGTCGAAGAATGCCAGCTTCTGGCGCCTGTCTTTCAAACCCTTTCCCCTCATTTTGTTTCCTGTAGTCATCTACGCCGCTATCACATTTTCTACATACGCAGCAAGCATCACTCTCGTTGCATTACTCCAAGACACCATCTTTTCAGAAGCCCCTTACAACCTCACCGTGTCGCAAATCGGCCTGACCAACGTCCCCCTCTTCGCCATCGGACTCGTCGGCACCCTCTTATCAGGCTACGCCGCCGATGGAATAGTGCAGTTCATGACGCGCAAGAACAATGGCGTCTGCGAGCCCGAGTTCCGCCTCGTCCTCATGCTCATAGCCGCCACCCTCAGCACCACCGCCTACCTAGGCGTCGGCTACAGCGTGTCGGCCGGGGCGCACATCTCCATCCCCATCGTCTTCCTCGGCCTGCACACGGCCGCCGTCCCCTTCGCCAACAGTGCCATGTTCACCTACGTGATGGACTGCCACAGCCAGCACGCCCCGCAGGCCTTCGTCACCATGGGCCTGGCCAAGGGCCTCATGGCCCTCGGCCTGAGCAACTTCGTCAACGGTTGGTACGACAAGTCGGGCCCCAAGGCCGTGTTCACCATCGTGGCCATTGTCAGCCTCGCCGTCTCGCTCATGTCCCTACCAATGTACATCTTTGGCAAACGTCTGCGCAGCAAGATCGCGCGCAGCTCGTTCCATCAGGGCATCTAAAGAACAGGCGGGCCCATATTTTACGATTCACCTCTTCTCACCAAGCACATAGAAAAAGAACTCGGGAGACTTTTTTTTTCCCTTTCTTTTTAGCGCATACCCTGCGGGCAGAACCAGTAGACCGGGACAGCTATCAGAAAACGTTACGACGACATGTGATCGCTTATTATAGATCTGGGATGCATCTCTTAAGGCACCTCTTAAGTACTTAGGTATGTGTATATCATACATTCTCGATAAGTTTGATACTTGTCAAAATTATCTTTACTCCTGGGCAGTAGACAGCCCTCCCAGAGAGATGCGCCTGTACCTCTACCATATACTGTATATAAATTGTATTCAATCATATAAACTAAGAACAAAAAAGTACAAAAAAAATTACAAAAGAATATAAAAATAAAGAAAAAAAAAATGTAGAAAAATTAATAGAAAAGTTAAAAATATTGACCAGGTCATTTACTCGCCAGCTTTCACATCCACGCATATTGGTGGCTTCCGTCACATTGCTATTAATCTAGGCTAAAATATATTACTAATATTGAAGGGGGTGGAGGGAAGGGGAGAGAAAATGTTACAGAGATAGCTGCTTGCATCATACTTGAAGAAACTACTACTAGGAATGAAATGCTAGAATGATAGCTGCTTGCATTATCCTCAAGGAGGCTAATAGTAGGAATAAAACGCTAAAGAAACAGCTGCTTGCATCGCACTTTAAAAGGCTACTATAATGTACGGTGGGGTCCACTGATAGAGCAAGGAATAGGATACGGTAGAATGGGTTCTGATTCTTAAGTAGAGAAGAAAGAGAAGCTCTACCGAGCCTGCAGAAGCTCTATCTAGCTGCTTGGCTACATGCCATAAGTAGCGCCCCGCGATATATAAAAAGTACAATATATAAAAAAAAACTAGCTGCTTATACCGCGCTTTGGCGGTTAATCGTCGGCTCGCTTAAGTAGACCTCTCTACATCCTTTCAGTCTTAGTCGGCGTAAGCGATTGCGGATCGGAAGCGAATGCGGATTTTTCGAGTATATTAGAAATTCTCTTATATTATAGCAGTTATCATTATAATTAATTGAAAAATGAATATATAAACAATTAATCTACGAGTATACCTTCTTTTAAAATATTTAGAATCTTATTATCAGTCGATAAAAAGTTTGCTGTTGAATAGCAAGCTAAAAAAAAATTCGAATTTGTTGTTAAACAATAACGGATCGTCGGTAAGCTTTAAAAAGAAGAAAGAGATATTGAGTATCGTACAGGAATCGATTTACGCAAAGCTAAGCGTAAGCGTAAAAGGGTGTATAAAAACGCTTTACTGCAACTTTAATTATTAAAAACGACGATGCAATATTTATTTCAATTCTCGATTCGAAAGAGATTAAATAATTGCAATAACTAATATTAAATTTTGCGGCCTTATAGAAAAAAGTATTCCTCGATCAACTTTCTCTTAACTTGAACTTTTTTTCGATATCGATGATTTAATAATTACAAGTGATACTATTAGAGACCCTTTTTTAAATTAAGATTTTTTTCAATATTAATATCGATAGCGATAGCTTTAATTCTGATAATAAAAATTCAAACGATTCGTTGCGTAAGGTAAAAGACGAGTCAGATTCTAATGAAAATAATAATCGATCGTCAAATGTTTTATCGGACAATACGATTTTGGAAGTTTCGAAAGAAGATATACTCATAGAATTAATTGTTTATATAAATGTTTCTTAATTGTAATAGTAATTGCTATAATATTGAAAAAAATTTGACATCATGCTCGAAAAATCCGCATTCGCTTTCGATCCGCAATCGCTTACGCCGACTAAGACTGAAAGGATATAAGGAGGCCCACCTAAGCGAGCCGACGATTAGTCCGAATACAAAGTTCAGCAGCAGTTTCTTATGTCTTTCGCATAACTCATCACACCTCGTACCGCATTCGCTTTTCCCTTCCCTTTCCTTCCTTCCTTCCTCCCTTCCTTCATTCATTCGTGCATCGTTCTCTGTCCGTAGCTCTGTCCGTCCGCACTACTCTTTCCGCCGATCAAAGCCTAGCGCGTCCCTCCGATCGATCAACTGATAGAAACAGTTATATTTCCCAAACAAAGTAAGAGAAGAGAGGATGATCATTCTTCTGGAGGACACGAAAGGCTATGTATGTACTTATGAGATACGCTAAGGAGTCGTGATGTCATCAAGGTCGGTCTCTCCTTCCCTTAGCTTTCTGAGACTGGAAGAGGTGTACCTATACCTAGGTAGGTAGGTAGGTAGGGTAGTATAAATCTAACTAACCGAAGCGAGAGAGTTTGAGAACGTCGTTTCGACTTTTCAACTTTTCGACTTTTCATTTCTTCCCCAAACTCTTTTCTGAGATATCTCGTCTTTGGATTCGGATCTTTTTACAACCGATACTGGATGATCTTTCAGCGAGTCAACTTCCACCTCCCGAAGCGTTTTAAGATAAGTAAACAGCTCTCTTTTATCTTTATCTTCGTCATCATCGTCGCCGTCGCAGGAGCCGGTAGGGTAGGGAGCGCTTCAGTTTCCATTTCAACTCGTCTCGTCTTGTCTTTTTTCCCGAGATACAAGGGGGAAGAGGGGGAAGAAGAAG